AGCTCCAATGGCTCCCGGTTAAATCACGCATCGTCTTCAAAATTCTTCTCACTTTCAAAGCTATCCACAACCTTGCCCCTGCATACCTATCTGACCTCTTACACATCTCCATCCCCTCTTGCTCTCTCAGATCCTCCTCTTCACTACATCTCCATGTACCCTCTGCCCGCCTCTCCACCATGGGGAGCAGGGCCTTCACCTGCTCTGCTCCTCATCTCTGGAACTCTCTACCCCGACTTAAGAAACACCACCTCTCTTTCTATATTCAAGACTGCTCTGAAAACACATCTCTTTAGACTCACTTATCCTTAACTTTGCTGTACGTATTTTCTATTCTTTATGCATTTTCTATTCTGTATGTATTTTATATTCTTTATGTAATTTATTCCTGTTGATCTTTGTTCTTACTGTAAAGTGTCCTTGGGTGTCATGAAAGGCGCTTTTTAAATAAAATGATTATTATTAGTAGTATTATTATTATGATAAGAGCCCTAAACCCCAGAAAACCACAGAGAAGAATCAGGAAGAGACACAGAGGTGCAGAAGTCTGCATCAACCCTAACCTCAGTGAATCCAGTGACCTGCTGGTGGAATGTGAGGGACAATAGGTCAGTGCTGTCAAACTGACAACCAGGTATCTGTGTGTGCAACAATCATCATCCACACCCTCAAAGTGAACATTTTCTACTGCTGGAGACACCATCAGCCAGGAGCGGGCTTGTTTGTGTCCACAGAAAGCAGACATGTCGATGTTTCAGAAGAAAAACTGTTCAGTGAAAAGGTTCTCAGTGTGTAGCAGTGAGCATTAGACACCGACGTCACTGGTTTGAAACTGTTCTTTTGAACTGGAAAATATTTGTTTATTTTTATGTAAGAAAACTGCTTGGAATAGAAATACTAAAGTTAAACAATAAAACTTACCATTTGTATTGTAATGTGTAACATCATTTAATAGTAATTACAAAATTGGTACCGAAAAAAGAACCGACACCGAAGTGAAGGTACCGATACCGATTTTATTAGAAAGGTACCCAGCCCTAGTCCTGTACCACTCTAGCATGTCCTGCTGTCCTCATACATGTTCTGTACCAAGCAAAAGGCATCAATACCATATTTTATTTTAGTAGGCTTTCAGTGAACTCTTCCTTAACCCAACTCAAAAAGCCCTGTTTTTTTGTCTTTTGTTTTTTATTTATTTATTTATGTATTTCTACTGTGGCTCAACAAGATGTCTCAGCTATAAAGTTTAAAAAATTTCAGTTTCTTATGAAAACTAACAACATTCTGCAATAATAAATGTAGATGATACTTTTACCAACTCAAACCTTCCTGCTGAACATTGGACTTCAGGATAATGTCTCAGTTTTGTAGCGAACATGATTTTAAAGTAATAAAAAGATAAAAAGTAAAAATCTTGAAAATATTATTTTGCTCCTTTGGTATGTAAAAGCACCACCTCTGATGGTTTGTACTCTGCAAGCCACTTGTTTCCATGGCAAAACTATATAATTAAAAATAATAATAATAATAATAATTAATGTTAAATGCTCAATTTTTTCCCAGCAGAATTGCAGACACATTTTTAGAGAGAAAAAAATAAAGATTGTTTCAAATTGTCTGAGTACTGATACATTTGTGTTGTTTCAGCTTTTTATTTATATTAAATTTGCATATTTATATAAAATCCTTTTTTTTCCCATTTTGTCATTTTAGTGTACCGAGTGGGAATTAAGAAGGAAAAGAAAGAAGAGTTGTTGCACCAGGCTACAACGTACAGCAATAACCTCAAAACTACAAGTGAGTCTGAATTCTTTACATAGACATTTATAGATGCCCTGTTCAACATTTTTATTTTTCAGAAAAAGATCTTAGGCACCCATAACAGCACATGGCCGTCTGCTTCAAAATATATACAGGTTTTGTATTCAATGATGTAAGCTTTTATAAGTGAATAGTGTTTGAGCTAAATCAATACATGCTTTGGAATTTTGGATTTAACATGGTGCTACTTTACTTTGTTCATATAATTTTCTAGAGTTTAAGGCTTGTAAATTGATGACAGAAAGTGTGTCATTTCCCATATGCACGTACTTAAAAAGCGTGTTTCCATCTGATTAAAGAATGAGTACATTGTCACTTAAATCAATTATACCAAAGACCATTAGTGTTATCAGGACAGCAAACACAAGTCTGATGTGGTCGTTAAGGGACTTCTGATCAGCTTATCAGACATAATGTCAGAAAAGTGTTGGCTAATCAAAAGATAAAGAAAAAATTATTAACTTCAGCTTAACTATGCTCCAAATGAAGGAATAGTAGGCAGCAGAAATCTTGTGGATCTTCCTTTACCAGATATTCCTTTTTATAATTTATTTTTTTCTTCTTGCTGTAAGGTGACACATCTAACTGTGCAGACTACAGGTGTATCATTTATTAGAAAATATAAACGATACATTTTCAATAGTTAGCCACATGCTAATTAGAATTTTTTATTCTAAATGCATCATTTATCTATTTTGTTTTTAAATATTTAAATTCAATTTAAATTATGTTCCTTCCTTAAATGGAAAAATTTTACCAATTGGCTTTTCTATGTATGTGAATGTTTCTGTTCGGTGCGCTGAGATGACTTCTGTTGTGATTTGGCGCTATATAAATAAACTGAATTGAACTGAAAATGTTTAGGCAACATCTTTAAAACTCTATTTGAAGCGTTCAGTGAAAAATCTCAATTTGAAGAGCCAAAAAAAGTTCAAACATTACCATGACCTTATTAGAGCAACCTCTTTCTGATGCAAATACACAAAGCAACAGAATTTAAAATGAAAACAGCTGTGTTGTGTCAACATTGAACATTTTCATAATGCAAAAAATGCCATAAAATCCATCCATCCATCATCTTTCACCCGCGCCTTCCTTTTCGGGTCGTGGGGACCACTGGTGCCCATGTCCAGCTGTCATTGTGCATGCATGCATGCATGCATGTATGCATGTATGCATGTATGTATGCATGTATGTTTGTACGTATGTATGTTTGTACGTATGTATGTTTGTACGTATGTACTGTATGTATGTATGTATGTATGTATGTATGTATGTATGGATGGATGGATGGATGGATGGATGGATGGATGGATGGATGGATGGATGGATGTACAAACCGGATTCCAAAAAAATTGGGACACTAAACAAATTGTGAATAAAAACTGAATACAATGATTTGGAGATGGCAAGTGTCAATATTTTATTTGTAATATAACATATATGACAGATCAAAAGTTTAATCTGAGTAAATGTAACATTTTAAAGGAAAAATATGTTGATTCAAAATTTCACAGTGTCAACAAATCCCAAAAAAGTTGGGACAAGTAGCAATAAGTGGCTGGAACAAGGAAACTAAGCATATAACAAACAGCTGGAAGACCAATTAACACTAATTAGGTCAATTGACAACATGATTGGGTATAAAAAGAGCTTCTCAGAGTGTCAGTGTCTCTCAGATCCACCGTGCCATCTGCCGTTGCCAGCTGAAACTCTACAGTGCAAAGAGGAAGCCATTTCTAAACAAGCTCCACAAGCTCAGACGTTTGCACTGGGCCAGGGGTCATTTAAAATGGAGTGTGGCGAAATGGAAGACTGTTCTGTGGTCAGATGAGTCACGATTTGAAGTTCTTTATGGAACTCTGGGACGCCATGTCATCCGGACCAGAGAGGACAAGGATGGCCCAACTTGTTATCAATGTTCCGTTCAGAAGCCTGCATCACTGATGGTATGGAGATGCATGAGCGCTTGTGGCATGGGCAGCTTGCATGTCTGGAAAGGCACCATTAATGCAGAGAACTATGTTCAGGTTCTAGAACAACATATGCTCCCATCTAGACGTCATCTCTTTCAGGGAAGACCCTGCATTTTTCAACACGATAATGCCAGACCACATTCTGCAGCAATCACAACATCATGGCTACGTAGGAGAAGGACCCGGGTACTGAAATGGCCAGCCTGCAGTCCAGATCTTTCACCTATAG